ATTTCTTTTAATATATATATATAATTTTAAGTCATTCTGTGACCCTGGTTGTGAAGTAGATCTGTCATGCAAGTAATTATTTTAATAACTTATTGTCTAATTTTCTGGTTTCTTTGCTCCCAGGTATAAGTATCCCCAATATCGATGTGAAAAAGCTGCATAGTTAATAAAACCAGGTAAGTGTTCAGTTAAGACATTATAAAATAGTGATTTTCATAATTCTATAAAAAGTTCTAATTCCACTCAAATGTCACATTTGGTTTAACTATCTGGCTACAAATGAATGGAATCCTTACTGTCTAGTAGTGGCTTTCACAAATGGTCCGAGGATAAAACCTTGGGGGACTCCTTAAGCTGTTCTTGAAAGCTACTTATTGCCAGTCTCATCTGGTCCTCAGTGCCTTGCAGTGCCTTCACCTCCATGCTGTAGAAGACGTACAGCATCAGTGTGGAGAGGAGGACGGCAAAGCACAGTGCCCCCAGCAGGTAGAAAGAGGCTTTGGGAAAGGGCTGTTCAGTTCCCAGAGCAAACAATGGGACAGCGGCGATTGCTAGCTCAAGCACTAACAGGACAAGACCCATAATGCCTGTACGCGCTGCTGTGTGGCGCATGCGCTCAGTGCAGTGGAGACCCACCTTTACTTCAGTGCGAGCTTCATTGACTGCGTTGACCAGCTCAGGAAGCTTATCTGAGAAAGAAAGAAAGTGACAGAATGGAAAACCATACACTAGCATTTAAATGTTTGAGTTCAGTTAGATTTTTTTATAATTTTTTTTTTAAGAAATCGATACTTTTATTCATTAAAATGGATTAAATTAAAGTGACAATGACAAAATTTAAAATAAATGCTGTTCTTTTAAACTTTCTATTCAGCTTTCTTTCTGTTTTACGGTTTTGATAAAAATATTAAACAGCTGTTGTTAAAAAATATTAAACAATGTTTGTTGAGCAGCAAATCAGTATATTAGAATGATTTCTGAAGGATCATGTGACACTGAAGACTGGAGTAATGATGCTGAAAATTCAGCCTGGCATAAATTAGATGTTAAAATATATTAAAATAGAAAACAGTTATTTGAAATTGTAACAATGTTTCACAATATTATTGTTTTTGCTGTATTTTGAATCAAACAAATGAATTCTCAAAAAGCATCATTTACTCACCCGTAAGTTGTTTCAAACTGAAAATATGCTTTTTTTTTTTTCATTTAATTATTAATTTATTCATTCATGTATGTATGTATGCATGTATGTATGTATTTATTTATTTAGAAGTTTTGAGCAATATGACAGAGTAATTAATATTTTTGGGGTGCACTGTTCCTTTAAAGCACATTGCATATCCAAAAAACAAGCAAGCAAACCCAAGCAGTCAATTTTCAAACTTTATTAAAGCGCATCAAATTAGAGAGCATTTTTTTTTGAGAGCAAGAAAAATGTGTGTATTTAATATTCTAAGATCCCCAAAACTGAAGAGCAAATACCTGAAACACAGCCAGATTGCCTCTCTGAGCACCCATTTCCCTTTGTAGTCGGTGTAAACAGGAACTCGGCCGTGAGAGCCTCATGGTCAGAGTAAGGGAAGGGATGTCCAGGAACAGGGCCCTTAGTGGTGGACAAAGACTCACAGCTCACATCCACTTCCCCTGATCCCTGCCAGAAAAACAGCGCTGTTTCATTCATGAGCATACAGGTAAAGTAAGCTGTTTTAAAGAGAAGTAGATCTGACATGGAAGTAATCATTTTGTTAATTTGTTTAATTTTCTTGTCATTCGTGTCTGTAGGATGAGTTCCTTTTGTTTAAATGACTAAACCAGAGCATAAGCAACAGTATGAGGATTAGAAAAACACTGCTTAGTAACAGAAAACGCCACTTAATAATAACAACCACTAGAAAACAAGTATCTAATATTTACCTTGAACAGGATGTAGTCTATCCGGACTCCTCCTCCAAATGGAACAAGCCCATCTGTGTTTGTGAATGGGTTTTCAGATATATGAGTGTGTCCCTCCTCACATCCCTGAAACAAATGACAGGATGGCTGTCATAAATCATAATTTAGAAAGCAAGGTGACTTTACATTACACACACTCAGTCATTACGAGAATCCAGGCTGCATCACAGTACTAACATCAAAGTTCGCCGTCTCACTGAAGCTGTCCTGAAGTCCTGTGTAGTTTCTCAGCAGTCTGGTGCCGAGATCGTCCGGGTGCATGTTCAGATCTCCACCCAGAATCACCACGTCCGCTCCAGCACTAGTGTGCCTTTATCGAAAAAGACAGCCAGTCGTTAGCATTATATATGTAAGCCAGTTCTGAGAAGAAAAAAAAAAAGTGTCAATTGTGAGATATAACAAGATTTGTTGATACTCAACATTACAAGAAAAAAAGTCAGAGTTGTGAGATATTTTCAACAAAACCATTGACCAGTTCAGTGTGATCTCAAAAGTTGAGCGGCACTTTTTTAGCACTGACTGCTTTACGAATCTGTTGCAATCTGATGCAGTTTTGCAAAGAGGCTGTTATTGAAGAACTGTGCAATTAAAACCTCTATGAGGCTCAAAATAAACCTGCAGCCATGGCTAAATATAGCAGACGTTTAGCACCTTATGAACTGTTGCAGCTCCCAGGCTTGAACCATTCGGTGCGGGAGATACGAGTCTTTCTCTCTGCAATATTCTGCATGCAGCTGCAAAGAGAAGAAACTGCTGTAACAGAGTAGAAGCTAAAAAGAATAATTAAATAATAAGAAAAAATGCTCAAAAGAAAAAAGCACACACAAAAAAATGTAAACGATAAATAATGAATAAATACTACAATAAATTAAAATATAATAAACAATAACAAATACTATAATGCTATATAAATAACACTGATATATGCATTTTGCATGAACTTACATGAGTGATAAATATATGAACCTTCAGCCCACTGATGTTGAGCAAGACCTTCCCGACGGCTTTACCACCAAACCAGTCGCCATGTTGAGCCTGATATAAGAATTGATCATTAACAAGCCATCAGAACAACCACACATCTCTGACACTGAAAGAGGAAACCGAGGCCACATAAACGCTGCATAAAAACGAGTTTATTTACAACAGTCTGTGTCTATAATGGGTGTACTGTTTACTTTTCACAGGGTCAGGATGACAAATAGTGGATCTGCATAATAAAATACTGCTTAAAAAAACAACTTTTACTTTTTAAAATTATTTTTTTTATTATGCATAGTCGTAAGTATTTTATAAAAGCAATATGGTATTTAAGAGTGTGCTATGTTGCAAATATATAGTACAGGAAACAATCATGCTTGTGTTAGACTGCATTATTGAATTAAATGCTATTCTTCCTTTCTTTATTTTTATATTTAAGTAGAAGAGCAGGATGTTTGTGCATGTAACTGATCAGACTGACCATATATGGATATCCATTTAATGAGTATCTGTACAGAAAGGCATCATGGATTCGATGTCTGGAAAACACGGCCAGTCCGCTCCCTATAAATCCACTGAAGATGAGAAGTTTCTTTAAGAGAAAATGCATCTTTATCTGTGCCCTTTATTCATATCGGTTTGTGCATTTCAAGAACCTTTAGTAAAAATGTTGTTATGTGTCATTTTCATGCATTATAGATCACGACTGACCTTTTAAAATAATGGGAGTACGGAGAGACACTGCTAAGCTTCTTCTTTAAAAACAGAAAGTCTTTCTCACACCAGACCTGGAACAAACAGCCCCAGAAAAACATGACAATATTACAGTACAAACCAGTATATATATATTTAAAAAAAATCTAGTACTGACATAATGGCTTCTTATAGTTCAAACAGTTCATTCAATGATTATCAATGGTTTAAACTGGTTTAAGAGGCTTCTCTCAATGTGTGGAATATCTGCGACAGTACAAATAATATGAATAGCCATATATTTGATGTTTAGATTTAAACATCTGTACGTGTGGAAGTTTATGTTTTACCTCCTGTAGTAACACTATATCAAGCTGTTCCAGACTCAGCAGGTCTCCGATCAGAACAAACCGCTCTTTGCAGTTCTTACTGAGGTATCGGATCCCCCTAAAACAATCACAACAAACTACATTGGCTTATACGCCCCTTTATACTATTATCTTGCATTCATGGATAATTTGTAGCAAATTATTCGTTAATACTATAACTTCAGTGCAAAGATTTTCACTAGAAATGAAGAGAAAATAAAAAGATTTTGCAAAATGCATTTTAACAGAAATGAAATGAAATTTCTTTAAAAAATTTGAATGAAAACCAAATCTCCATATGCAAATCTGTAATTCCTGCAACATACAGTAAATGTTCAAATACAATAGTTTAAGTAATTTTTTGTTTTATGTTTTTTATTAGATGAAAGTTAGTTTTTGACTTTCATGAGCTGTAAGCTCTAATCATCTAAATTAAAACAAAAAAACGTTTGAAATGTTTCACTTAACATGTAATGAATCTATAAAATATGAAAGTTTCACTTTTTGAAATAAGTTACAAAAAATGAACTTTTTCACAATATTCTATTTTTTTGAGATGCACCTGTATTTAACGTATTTTTCTGACAGTATTTTAAACATTTGTCTTGTCTTTAGTACAATATCACATAAAAGAAGAATAAAAAAGAAGTATGATATAATCATTTTATATTCCTATTGGATATTGTGTAATCAACTGGAACTGGAACTTTCTACAGGGACATTTTTATCCAATGGAGTATCGTAATGTGTTATAAAGGATCTAGCTTTTGTTTTGTGTTTTGCTGAAATCCCATAAAACATTCCCAGTAGGATCAGTTAAATATCATTTAGGAATATGAGTAGGGCTGCACGATTAATCGAATGCGATTGTCATGCGCATTTTGTTAGTAAAGCCGTTTCTGTAATCAGCAGGAAATCATCATCACGTGCAAATCATCAAGGGGAAGTCGTGGCCTAAAGGTTAGAGAGTCTGACTCATAACCCAAAGGTTGTGGGTTCGAGTCTCGTACCGGCAGGGATTGTAGGTGGGGGGAGTGAATGTACAGCGCTCTCTCCCACCTTCAATACCTCGACTGAGGTGCCCTTGAGCAAGGCACCGAACCCCCAACTGCTCCCCGAGCGCCGCAGCAAAAAAAAAAAAATGGCTGCCCACTGCTCCGGGTGTGTGTTCACAGTGTGTGTGTGTTCACAGTGTGTGTGTGTGTGATGGGATAAAAGCAGAGCACTAATTCCGAGTATGGGTCACCATACTTGGCCACATGTCACGTCACTTTTTCAGAAGGAGCAGAATTTACTACATGCGTAGCTTGTCAGTGAACTACGGCTCTGTGAAGTAAATGCTGCTCCATCTGAAAGCATGTGAAAATACCACATTTAATAACATATTTTTACTCCAAACTCACTTCATAACGTCAGTCGAGTGTTTGAAATAAATCCTTCTGTGAGATGATGTGGCTTCTTACACAGAATAAGGCACGCAACATATTTCATAGTATTTAAGCAGTGATAAAGGCATTGCATTATAAATATACTTTATTTGAATGAAAATTATAATAATAAGAACTCAGATAAACCGTATATTGCCGTAGTCGTGTGTTTATTAGTCACATTGAATCAATGAAAGCAGTTGAATCTTCTGTTTATTCAGCTGCAGCGATAGGCATTTTCTGGGTTTCTTCTGCGAGGCGTATTTGGAGTTTCAGCGCGAGAGCGCCCTCTGGTCTTTGGATGGAGATTTACTGCTGATCACAGAACCGTGCTTCACTGAAAGATACTCATGACAATCACAGCTTCTATCGAATCGCGATCTCGATTCCATTTCGATTTATCGTGCAGCCCTAAATATGAGAACTCTGCATTTCTTCAGCTAAAGGAATCTCACCAGCAGTTGAGAGAGAAGACACGGAATCTGATTGGTGCTGAGGTTGTCATGGCGATGGGTCTTATGGGATGGTTACAGCCAGTCTGTGAGGATAAAGGAGAGAATCCAGTTTACACTTAAAACCAGTTCCGACACACAAAACAAAACAGTTTGATTCAGTTGTGAATTTCTCAGAACGAACGTCACTGTACGTTTGAAACCGTTTACACAAAAAAAAAAAAAAAACTTTTTTCAGGGCATTAAAAGTTTTTTGGGTTAGTGAGACTACAAGTATACTGGTTTATCTTTATGTATGAAATATACTGTGGAAAATATAAAATACTATAAAAATAAATTATTAATAATCAAATACATTCAGCTTACAAACATGACATAAATTTAATAAATACATACATTTTAGCTCCCACCTCATCAACACAAAACCACCACTACAACCAATCTAAAATAAAACATATTTCATATTTACCTGACCTGCCTAAAACATAAGCAAGACTGGTGCTTGTTAGTCCACAGCTTTCTAAAAGAAAGTAGTTCACAACAAGCCATAAAAGTAACTGAAATACCTTTGAGCCCGAGTAAAACCACAGAGTCCCTGATACACAAACGCTCGTCTGACAACGTTTCATAAATCATAAAGCCCAGCTCCCAGCAGTGCTGCTGGATATCATTATGGCTCCACCTCAATCCCGAGGGTTAAAGGTCTAGGCTACTCACTGTGTTGCCATGGTGACACTTACTGTACACAACACACCCTGCAGAGTGACTGCAAAGATAACCTTGTGTGTGTGTGTGTGTGTGTATAAACACACACACATACATGCATGCATATATGCATATATATGTACATGTATTACATATTAGAATAACTACAAAATACTAGCCTATAATTACTTATAGTTAAGTATATAATATATACATAAATGATAGTTTATATTTATTTAAAAAAAAAAATCATATGGGTCAAAGACGAGACGCCCCATTTTGGTGTCTGCATCAAATTAATTGTACAAAAGTGATTTTATATACATCGAAAGCACATTTGATGCAAGTATCTCTTTTAATGATTCAAATAACTTTTGTGGCTGTTTATCTCACAAATTTTGCAAATTTATATCTTGCATTTCTAACTTTTTCTCATAATACTCAGAAAAAATGAAATTAAGCAGGACACGTTCTAAATGCATGCTTTTTTTTTTTAAATGTACACATTTAAACCTGCATTAAACTTATTGTTTTGATGCTTGAAAACCCCTTTTCATCTTTGACCCTTGTATTACTCCTTATATTAGTGTAGGCTATATATATTTTTTTAAATAAATAAATAGTATTGTGGCAGTACCATCCCTTACAACAACAACAACAAAATTAACAAAATTAAAATTTAAATAAAAAAAGGATACTATGGTACTACAATGTTTTTTTTTTTTTTTTTTGGCACATGTACCATGGTATATATCAAAATAACATGGTACTGTCATCACTACAGTAATATTATGGCACATCATACACTAAAATGTACCATGGTATTTTTATGATACCAAATTCTTGCAATTCCCAAAGATCCTTCTAACATAAACTCCCAGCAGCTTTACATACGTCCTAAGCTGAATCTCAATGGCAGCGTGTGCTTGTGATGACAGTAAATCAGTCTGTATTCATTTTACACCAGTAAGCAACAGCATTTGCTCCAGCGTTATGACCATCCAGGGACAGTAAACACAGACGCAGCTGCTGCACACAAGCACTGAACGGCGCCGGGACGATCCGTGTTTACTGCTGATACCAGACAGACCAGACCAGTGATTGGGCCGATTTTACAATCTGTGTTTTAGGGAAGCTGGTTTCCATCATGGGGAAAAAAATCGGAGAAAAAAGTAAGAATTGTGAGATATATAAACTAAGAACTGCATGAAACCTTAAGAAATGAGAGATATAGGCACGGTTTCACAGACAGGACTTAGATTAAACCAGGATTAGGCCATAGTTCAATTAGGACATTTAAGTAATTTTTATTAACATGCCTTAAAAAATATTACTGGTGTGCATCTTGAGACAAAACAAAGGCACTGATATGTTTTAAGATCAGTCAGTGCAAGGTAATTTCAGTTGAAACAGCTCAGAATTACATTTTAGTCTGGGACTAGGCTTAAGCCTTGTCTGTGAAACCGGGGGATAAACTTAGAATTCTAACTTTTTTCTGGCAATTCCGAGTTTTTTATCTCGCAATTCAAACTTTTTTCTTAGAATTCAAAATTACATATTTAAAAATCTCAGAATTCTGGTTTGTTCTTGCAATTCCGACTTTTCTGCGACTTTTCCGATCTCACAACCCAATTTTATTTTATTTTTATTCTGTGGTGGAAACAGGGTTCCCTAGATTTTACCAGGAAACCTTGAATAACAAAAATGTGTGTGTTTGTGTGTGTATATATATATATATATATATATATATATATATATATACACTATAATGCTCGTGTGTGCAAATACACACACACACACACACACAGTAATACGTAAAACAAATTAACAAGTAAGTTGTTGCAGGTGCATGGGTTTATAACATTAAAGGGGTCATATGATGTTGCTAAAAAGAACATTATTTGGTGTATTTGGTGTAATGAAATGTTTATGCGGTTTAAGGTTCAAAAAACATATTATTTTCCACATACTGTACATTATTGTTTCTCCTCTATGCCCCGCCTTTCTGAAACACCTCGATTTTTACAAAGCTCATCAGTCTGAAAAGTGAGGTGTGCTCTGATTGGCCAGCTATCCAGTGTGTTGTGATTGGCCGAATACCTCAAGCGTGTGACAGAAATGTTACGCCCCTTACCATATTGTGATGATGCCCTGTCCGGCTGGAGCGACATGGCGGCAGCAACAATACTACAGCGAGAATCAAAGTTACGCCTTCTTTCTTTGCGTGAACATTTGGGCGGTGTTATGCAAATCTTCCCACATCGTGACGTAGATATGTGGGGGCGTGTTAGAACGAGCCGTTTTAGGTAGGCGTGGCTGACTCTTAACTTTTATAAAGAATATCTCTTTGGATTTGAGACTTTAGTCTTTGCAACTTTACAGATCTTCTTTATGCACCAAGAGCTTGTAACACTTCAAAGAGAAAGAAAAAATTGAAATCGCATCATATGACCCCTTAAAAGTGCACTGGTATTTTCATTAAATGTTAACGTTTATAAAATGACCAGTTGGGTAGATTACTTAAGGTGACTAGTGCAAACATATGATGCCGCATACATACGCCTAAAACACACTTTAAAATGACTGTCACTGCAGTATATAACAAAACATCAAAGCACGTATCAGCTGCGCTCATATGCTGCAGAATGCATTTAATTAAAGGCTGTTAAATGTAATCGAGTCATATGTGTTGGAGATCTGATCTTACCTTTGTGCTGGTCACTACTTCGCTCGATCAATCCAAATGCGTTCTAGTTGTTATAAACAAACGTTCATGAGCTCAGTGTGTCTCATATTCTGTCCATCTACAGTCAGACCGCTACTTCCTCATCTGCCACTGACCTGGATGTCGTCTGTAGAGAAGTCATTCAGCTTTATCAAACGCGTCTGATGGATATTTTACGTTTAACTTTAAACTTTTAATTTGTAAAACGAGCAAACGTGTTCATCTCTCAACTGCTGAGCGCAAAATAAAGCGTGACTGACACACGGGTTTGTATCGCGCATATTCAGAGTTTTTGAATACAGTGTTTAAAGTTTACTTTTTGTTTGTTTCCATACAAGAGCTACTTTGCAGCAAATGAGGTTCAACGTGAGTACGCCGACTCTCAGACGTCACGGTTTCGTCATTACCAGCGCCACGTTGACTGGAATGCTGGGAAATTGAGTTTTTCTTAAGGAAACGCTCACTTATTATTGTCTCTGTTTGGTGAAGTACAATGTCTCAAAATATGAATTGGCATCTTTTAAATATTCACTGTCTAATTTCAATTAAATAGCTGTTAAATCACTATTTGGGGGTAAATTATTTTCCAGATGTTGCTTAAGTAGATTACGTTGTCATGTGTTTCCTGTTACTTTTCTCAGCGCTTGTAAAGATGGACCAATCAGGGGCGTTGGTGAATACTAGCGATGACGTTCTTAAAGGAACACTCCACTATTTTTGAAAATAGGCTCATTTTCCAACTCCCCTAGAGTTAAACAGTTGAGTTTTACCGTTTTCGAATCCATTCAGCCGATCATCGGGTCTGGCGGTAGCACTTTTAGCTGCAGCTTAGCATAGATCATTGAATCTGATTAGACCGTTAGCATCTCGCTCAAAAAATGACCAAAGAGTTTCGATATTTTTCCCATTTAAAACTTGACTCTTCTGTAGTTACATCATGTACTAAGACCGACGGAAAATGAAAAGTTGTGATTTTCTAGGCCGATATGGCTAGGAACTATACTCTCATTCCGGCGTAATAATCAAGGAACTTTGCTGCCGTACCAGCTGCCGTAAAACTCAACTGTTTAACTCTAGGGGAGTTGGAAAATGAGCCTATTTTCAAAAATAGCGGAGTGTTCCTTTAAGCTTATTTTGCCGACCCCTGATTTAAGCAAAAGTACTTTCTAGAGTTTAAAAAATAATGGAAAAAAGACAAACATCCTGAATTTTTAATGCAGCTCAATGTGGGATTTCTGAAGCGCCCTCTGAAGAAAGAACTTCTGCAACTCGTGAAAGTTTTTGGACATTTACCATAGTATTCCTTTAAGTACCAAGGTATTTTTTAATGTTGCATTTTTCTCTACAACCAGAAAAGCAGCAGTTGGTGATAATTCAATACAAAATACTAGTCAACATGTTAATTCTGCCTCTCACAATTTTCATATATTTTAGATATTGCATTGTAAGCAATTTTTAATATACTTTGTTTTGTTTGCAAGAATATTTTCTGCCAGCCTCATTTATGTGAATGAGAATAAGACACTTTTACAAAGTTGTAAGTGTGTTTTAAGAAATATGGTCCAAGGAGACCCATGCCATTTTATTGGTATTGCTATACATTGTTTTGATTATATTGTACAAACCCCTAACATTGAAGATATACATAACTGCAATGCACAACTGGTAACTAAGGCCACAATGAACTGTTAAAAACCAGGGGAAAGCTTTTGCCAACACCACTTAGATTATGGCACAAAATAACAGTAACACACAAAATTTTCAATGTATGCATATAGCATCAATTGAAAGTCGAAGAGCAAACATAAAATTAATAATTATAACAATAATTATAAAAAGGAAACAAAAAAGCCTGTAAGAAAAAATACAATTGAGAAAACTGTCGTCACTGAAGTTCAAACACAAAAAAGTAGGTTAAGGCTGTACCAATACACATTACATTTCCGTTTTTTAAGGTGTACCCAAAAATTAGCAGTACCTTCAGAATGAATCTAACTGCTATCAGTGAGCACCAACTCATGTCTAACAACCATCCCAAGAACATTATCCATACAAACGGTGCCGTCTTTCAATTTTACAGGCGAGTGGAACAAAAATGCTACATGGCTTTTCCAATGTTACATTGGAAACATTGAATCGGGTCGAAAATTCAAGTTTTTAGTTCTCAAATGGGAAAATAAACATTACATTTTCAGTAGTAGCAAAATATGATCTCAGTTCAGCACTGTTAAAATGGCATATTTCTGTAATTCCATGTCGAACACCTGGTGCATTCTTGTTCTAAAAAAAGTTGTATTTTTACATCTAAAAATGAGATTCAGAGAGATGCACAAACCAT